AGGGCACGCGGCTTTCCCGAGGTGCTCCCACCCTGGGTAGCCCCCAGAGCCGCCTGTCCTGCCCGGCCTGGCTCTGAGCCTGGGCAGCGTCTTTGCCTGTGGCCGCCTCGCCTGCAGGAGCCACCTCTGTTGCCATTAGGAATTAAGCAGCTTAGGTCACACCTGCTTGGTATTTTCAAAATTTCTTAGAAACAAAATAAACATGCAGCTTATATAACACTCCTGGCTGGAAAGTCAGTGGTTGCTGGCGTGGGGGCAGCACGGCAGGGGAGGCTGGTGCTGAGGAGGGCCTTGGTCAGCCCTGGCCGTTGTTGGACCATTTGCTCTAAACTTTCTAAAGCAAAAACTCTCCACCGAGGAGTGACCTCCGAGCCCATTTCAGAGTGAGACTTGGAGAACTAACACTAACCCCAGGACGTAAGCATTGAAATTAGAACCACTTGGCGATCAAGAAGCCGTAGGTCAGCTGGCCCTCAGCCTCCATTACCCTTCCTGCCGGCAGCTTTCTGTGTTGCTAAAAACCATCTTTCCCAGACTCTCTTGCAGCCAGGGCTCTCAATGAGAATTCAGTTCTGTCCTGACATACAAGATTGGCATCTTGGCTTGGTAAGCAAGGGCATGGACGCCTGGGGGTTTCTGCCACGGCCGTCATGTGTCCCATCACCACCGTGGCTGGGGACAAGAGCGGTTATGGTGGCAGTGCCACCTCCCAGCCCGTGGCAGTGAGTTCAGAGGTGGGTCTCATTCCCCAGGTGGAGGAGTAACTCTGCAGGAGTGTCCTTCCCGCGCTTCCTGGGAGCCGTTCCTGGAGGCCTTGCCTAGCGCCTGCTCCTCCAGCCCTTCCTGTGTTTTAGTAGAGACCTAATTCCCTTCATCTGTCATCTATCTATCTATCATCTGGCCGTGCCACGCCGCTTGTGAGATCTTAGTTCCCCGACCAGGGATTGAACCCGCGCCCTCAGCAGAGAAAGCGCTGAGCCCTAACCACTGGACCGCCAGGGAGTTCCCCCGATTCCCTTTATTTAATCTCCCTCTGTTGAAAACACCTGCAGTGGAGTCCGTGTCCTGTTCTCAACCTGGCTGACACAGTCCCAGAGCAGATCTGGGGCAAGTCCTGTCTCTCCTGTTGGTTCGGAGCACAGAACACGGGGTCAGCAGTGGCCGGAGGGAGCAGCGGGTGTGCTCGGGGCTTTAGAATCAGGAGGCCCAGTGGGCAGTTGCTTCAGGGCTACGGAGGGGAGCCCGGGAGGAAGGACTTGCCAGAAAGCATGAGCGGGTGTCTCAGGTAGGAGAACAAGCAGCCCTGCGGGGAAGACGCTGGGACAAGGAGACACCAAGAGGAAGAGGAGAGATGGAACCAGCCAGGGGAGGGGAGGAGGGTAGAGTCTGTCCCAGACAAAGCGGTTGATTCCTTCCATCAATAAGATGCTTTCAACTGTAAATAACTGAAAACACACTTCAAATGTTTTGTGTTAAAAGGACATCTTATCATCACGTATTAACAAAGACTCCAAAGACAGGGCAGGGTCAAGTTGCTTCCATCTTTCTGAGCCCCCATTCTTAGCAGGTCTACTCGGTCTCGAGGAGGCTGTCCTCATGGTCACAGGTGGCTGCCCTATTCCAGGTGTCACATCCAGACACACCAACTTCTAAGAAGAGGACGCATCCCTTCTGCTGCTTCTGTTTTCATCAGGGAGGAACCTCTCCCAGAGTCCACCCCCAGTGGACCTCCCCTCACACCCTACCGCCCACAACTGGGTGGCGTGCCCATCCTCACCGAGTCACTGGCTGGGAAAGCACACTTCAGTAGTGGCTTCTGCCAGGGGTGCTCAACCCTGGCAGAATATTAGAATCACTTACAGAACTTAAAAAAACATATATATATATATAAAATGTATATATTAATGCCCAGTTTCCACCCCGGAACATAGACTAACTCAGGACCCTTGCTAACGACATGTCAATGTAGGCCCATTGACTGTTAACAAGCCCACCACTCTGGTGCGGGTCGCTGATGGTGGGCGAGGCCGTGCGTGGGTGGGAGCAGGGGGCATATGGGAAATCTCTGTACTTTCTGCTCAATTTTGCTGTGAACCTAAAACTGCTCTAAAAAATAAAGTCTATATAAAACTTGCTTTTAAAGCTCAGGATCCTAGGCATTAGTATCTTTTTAGAAGTTCCTAAAATTATTATAATATTCCAGCATGCCACCAGGGTTGAGGAACGATTGGTTTAGACTATTTGAGATTTCTCTCTGAGCTGGGGACAAAGTGACCTTTCTTAGAGGCGAGTATCTGAACGAAATGGGGATTACTGTTACGGAGGGGGGAGGGGATGGAGTTGGCACAGACCATGAGGCACCTGCTACCCTCACCAGGGTCCATAGCGCGGTCAGTCCAAGCCATCAGGGTGACTCCGGAGACATTCGGGGAAAGGAGGAGAGTCAAAGAAGGGCCATCCTGCTGTTGCCCGAGGGTGATGCTGGCCCACGGGAGTGGGAGATGGTACATTTCCCCGCTGTTCAACCTTGGCCAGAGGCTGCGGGTGGAGTCCGGGCAGTGGGGTGCAGGGAGCGGGGAGGCTGGGATGGGGGGGACAGGAGTCCCTGCGGGTCGGGGTAGCTCTCGGGGGCCGTGGCCTACCTTCCCTCAGTCAGTTCCTCGAATCAGCCTCCCTCACTGGGGCCAGATCCTCCATCATCGGAGCGGCACTGCCCTCCTGCCTGGGACTTTTCCCGTCTGTTTATTCCCGTGTTTAGCGTCTGTGTCCGTGTTGCTGCCCGATGGCGACGGTCCTCTGCGGTTCCCAGCACTCTTTCAGATGGCAGGGGTGGGGTACAAGACGGGATGTGAGCGCGGCGACCCGTGGGCAACCCTCTGCCTCCCCCTCGCCTGCTTCAGTGAACCCCCAAGGCCTGCCCTGAGCCGGGGGGCCTCCATTAGCAGGGGGCTTCGAGGAGCAGAGCCCGGCCAACCTCCTGTCGGGTTACCCACAGCTGTCCTGGGGTCAGCCCGTTGCTGCCGCAGCACCCAGCCTTTCCTAAGTCACCCCAATCGAATGTGGCTCCTCGAGAGCACAGACCCTATCACCCTGTCACAGCACCCAGGACAGTCCACTCAAAAAATATTGGCTGAACGAACAAACGAGTGGGGGAAATCTTCCTTTCTGTTCTGTAACGACAACAAAAGAAGGGACTGTGACCACAACAGAGGGTTTGCTTGTTTTATGTCTGAGAATCTAAACACTAGAAGCTCCACACAGTGGAAACAAAGGATGCTTTGCTAAGCTTGTGGCTATCCGGCTGAGAATCGGGAAGTCACATCAGGAAGCTGTGCCCTCTGCCCAGCGTGACGGTGGTTTGTGAGGAGTAACCCGGAATGTCACCTGCTCTCGCTGGTGACCCGCGAGTGGGGATGGTTCTCGGCCATTTACGTTTTGGACAATGGCAGTTGTTTGGAAAGAATGAATCAGTTGTGCAAATATTTTTTCAGCCCATTCCTTAGTCCAGGAAAAAACAGTAGAAAGAGAAAACAGTAGATGGGATCACCGGGTGGAGGCAAGATCAAGGGGTTTTTCCATTGTTTTCTTTTGAGTTAAATCTAGTTTGGAAATAGGATTAGTCCAGAACGGGTCAGGTCTGGGACATCACAGTGAAACGGCTTAGATCGTTCTGTCTTGTTATAAAGATAGTAAGTGGGAAGAAAAGGAGGAGGAAAGAGAAAGAGATGATGGTGATTTTTCCTGAAGGTGCTAATCTTCCCTCTGGAACAAGGCAGATCAGGTGTTTGGAAACCCCGAGCCGTCTCCTCCCCAAGCTGAGCGTTTCCAGCTCTCTTGACACATTCTCAAGCAAGGGTTTTGAGGAGACCCTCAAGTGCCACTGCAAGTGACACTTCCGTGGTTTCAGGAAGGAGCAGATGCTCCCGAGACGCGGCCCCGGTGAGTGGCGCAGCGAGCCCAGGCGACACTGCTTCCCTCGGCTGGTTTCCTCATCTGGCTGCTGGTGGGTAGGGGTGGAGGAGAGAGGGGCGGGTCTGGCGAGACTCCCTCCCCCGCATCCAGCCGGGGTGGGGGGGGCACACCTTTGAGCAGGATATGGTCTTTGCTGTTAATATAGCTTAAACCGCCAGGAGCTCAGGGCCAGGGCCAGAGACTTTAATGTGGGAGGAGAATCCGGGGAGGTGGGAGAACAGAAGTGTGGAGTCCCGGGACCCCAGAGTTGAGGGGGAGGGTGTTGGAAGGAGGGGTGGCCGGGCAGGGCCTTGGGAGGCTGCGGCCACGACGGTGGGCCTGCCTACACGGGTCGGAGCCCGGATGGACGGGAGTGGTTTCTGCAGAGAGCAGGGGACGGACGGGCTCGGCCGGACGGGTCGGCAGGAGGAAGGAGGGCAGGGAAATGAGGTAGTAGCTGCAGGGGCAGCAGGTCTGGAGAAGATTTTGGTTTTGTTACTATTCAGTTATTTGACGTTTGCAAAATAAGGAGCAGGTGTGCACAGTAGACATCCAGTGACACAGGGCCTTTCACCCTCTGCCCGGTCCCCCTTCGCTTCTCCTGGAGGGGACGAGGCACAGGTAGCAGCCAGCGGCCAGCCTTGGCCAGTCTTCCCCAGCTGCCCCGCTCTCCCCCCGGCCTGATTCCGGGCTCCTGCTCTGGCCCGCGCCCTGCTTCCCATGGTTGTCGCTGGACCCTGTCCTGGCCCCTCAGGCACTCCCGGGGCCCAGATGCTGCCGGCACTGAGGGTCCTGGGGCTGACCCCAGCTACCCATCCTCCGGCCCCAGGACCATCACTCTGGAGTCACCCAGGGGGTCATGTTGACCACCCACCGCGGGTCTCACCAGGGACCCCCACCTTGGCCTCCACGGTCACCCCTCCACTGGACACACCTGAAATGGAGCTGACGTCCCCAAGTCCAGGGACCCTGGGGCTAAAGTGAGGCTCTGGGGGGTGGAGGGGAATGGGGGGAACCAGAGAGGGTGGGGGGCAGGGCTGCAGAGACACGCACGCACGCACATTCCTGGGCTGCTGGGAAACTTTATTGGTCTCTACTCTAGAGAGGGAGGCGAGGATGCCCTCGGAGCAAGAGGGGTGCCAGGAGCAGCCGTCCAAGGGCGCAGCACAGCGAGGCCAGGGCAGCTCAGTGACGGGGCATCTGTGGGGGACACGAGGCGTGGTGAGGCTCTTGCCCAGGGCCCAGCGGCTCCCCGCACTGCCGCCCTGCCACTCACCTTGGCCGGGCTCGGGGGGTATCTGGCTCTGAGGGCCTCCTCATTCAGCAGAGGCCTCACCAGGCAAGAGCGGCGGTGGGAGAAGGTCTCGAAGCTCTTCTTGCCATGGTAGGACCCCATGCCGCTGCCCCCTGCGGGAGGAGCCGGCTCAGCGTGGCCCCGAGACCCCGACGCCCCTCCTGCGCCCCTTCTCCGAGCGGCCTGGGGGACCCCGATCCCTGGGGTGTCCGCCGAGGCATCCACGCCAGGAACAGTGGCCAGGAAGAGCCTCATCCCAGCCCCGCCACTAGGTGGCTCTGCGACCTCTGGCGCGTGCGGCCTCTCTCAGGCCCCAGGTGACCTCTGGGACCCTCTAGGGTCTCAAGGTTGAATGTGGCTGATGGATGTGCCAACAGAGGGAGAGGTCAGTGGGAGTCTGAGGCCCAGCCCAAGGGTTGGGGGGGGACACCCGCGGGGGGCAGTGGGCCGTGAGCTCGGCGCCAGACTCACCCACGCCCCCGTAGGGCAGCGAGGGCACGGTCGTGTGGACGATGACGTCGTTGGCCGTCACCCCGCCACTAGAAGTCTCCGCGATCAGCTTCTTAATGCCCTACGATAGCGCCGGGGCTCAGCCTGCGGCCCGGGACGCCCAGCCCCTCCCCCTCCCCCTCCCCGCTGCCCGGGCGCGTCCGGGAGCCGCGAGGACGCGGGAGCCGGTGAAGGCAGAGCCCCGGCGCCGGGCCGCTCCCCGCCCCGAGCCCCAGGCTGGCTTCTCCACTCTCCCCACGTAGTTTTGTGGGGAGCTGGTAAGAGCAGCAGTTCCCAGGACGGCGTGCGCGGCACCGAGGGGCTCACCATCATCTCATTCACGCCCTGTCCTGATTTCAGAGCCGAGAGGAAAGGGGCTCAGGAAGGTTAAGCGGCTCGCGGTGAACAGTGAGGCTGGGATTTGCTCCCAGGTCTGTGAACCCCTGGATCCTGTTTGCAGGAGCGGCGCGCCCAGGGCCCCAGGACCCTGGAGGAGGGTTCCCCCGGCTCACCTTGTCGTTTAGGGAGAACACATAGAGGGCCAGGGGCTTCTCGCGCTGGTTGATGAACTGGATGGCTTCCTCCAGGCCGCGCACGCATACGATGGGCATTATGGGCCCGAAGACCTCCTCCTGCATCACCGGGGACTGGGGGTCCACGTCCACGAGGATGGTGGGGGCTGGAGCAGGGAAGAAGCCGGCGTCAGCCAGCGCAGAGACCCCAGCCCAGGCGTCACCCAGCCCTTTACAGACAAGGCCGGCAAGGCTTAGTGGGGCGGGGCAGGCACGGGCCCTCCTCCTGCCAGGCTCCATCCCGGAGGACCACGGAGAGAACCCTGGATTCACCTATACGGGGGGGCGGGGGGAGCCCGGGCTCCACACTTCAGGGGGCGGGCCCTGTGCCCCGCTAGCCACGTGAGCCCTGCTGGAGCTCTTCAGCCTCCTGGCAACTTGGGGGCCAAGTGGGGCCCCATCTGCTGACCCTCCAGCCCAGGCACTGCGGGCCCCTCCCGCTCGGCACACCTGGGGCTCCTGTGGCCTCTGCTGAAGCTGCCGGGATGCAGAGGAGGTGAAGCCTCCTCTAGGCCTTGAGGGGAGGGGCTTCTGGGCTGGGGAGGGGCCTCCCAGGGGCTGTGTCCAGCTCCTGCCCGCCGAGAGGCCCAGAGCCAACCCGGAGCCACTGGTGAAAGTGATGGACACACACCATGGGGCTGCTCTGCTCTTCAGGGGTGTGTGCCCACCCGCCGCCCGCTCGCGGGGCCCCTGGCAGCCCTGGCGGGCAGGCAGTACTCTCCTGAAGGGCAGCGCACGCACCTATGTACCGGCTGGTCGCATCCCCGGTGCCCCCGTAGGCGACCTTCTGGCCTTCCATCAGGCCCATCACCCTCTGGAAGTGTAGGGAGTTGATGATTCTCCCATAGTCGCGGGACTTCTTGGCATCCTCCCCGTAGAACTCCTGTGGAGGAGAGCCTCCAGGTGAGGATGTGGACCCTCATCACGGCCACAGGCTGTGAGGTCACTGGTGACCCCAACCTGGGAGCACACGTGGGCACCACCCTGTGGAGCAGCAGTCGATGGCACAGCGACCCCGAGAACTACGGAGCTGCCGCACCCTGGGCGCCCCCCGACTTTCCTGGCACACGAAGTGCTGCAAGACAGCTGTGTTGTTTGAAAGAAATACACGCACAGCGTCTGGACATCACACTGGGACCAGACGCGTGCGTCTACAGCAAGGAGGATGGAGGCAACACACCAAGTCAGCAGCGACTGGCTTTAGGTGGTGGGATTCTGGGTGGAGCTTTTCCCCCTTCTTTATGCTTTTTAATCTTTTCCAAATTATCGACAGTGAGTGTGGATTATTTTCATGAGCAGAAAAGAATGAGCCAGTCTTCTCTCAAGTCCACGTCCATGTCACCACCTGGCAGCCTGTCACCCGCCCCCGGGGCCAACACTCACCTTCAGGGACTTTGTGAGCTTCTCCACGACTTGGTTCTGGATCGAGGGGTCACACAGGATGTAATCGGGGGCCACGCACACCTGGCCACTGTTCATGAATTTCCCCCAGGCGATGCGTCTGTGAAAACCCCAGGTTAGATGACATATCGCCAGCCCGGGGGGGCTCCCCAGGAACAGGCCTCTGGCTCAGTTAGCCCAGGGTCAGGGCACGAGGGGCTCTGCTGTGAGCTGTCCACCAGGGGGGCCCCTTAGCACCCCACTGGCTTCTAGATCCCACGACCCTGGACGTGCTCACAGGGCCTGCGGTGACCTCATCACTGACTGGCGGGGGGTGTCTGGCGTGGGCGGCCTTTATCCCCCTCTTTTCACAGCCTTGAGCCCTGCACGGCCAGGTGTCACTGTGCTCAGGGTCCCACACCCCAGAAGGCTACGTGTGCGGGACACGAGGGCAGGCAGGGCTGTCCTGGACCCCTACTCTGCGGGAAGCCTTTCCCGCACCTCTTCTGTGAGCATGGTACCTCCAGCCCCAGCTCCCGCCAGGACCGCAGGCGCCCTGAGGGCAGGGGCCACGTCAGTGTCACTCAGAGTGAACTGCCGTCCGCCTGAGCTGGGGGGCAGCCAGGCCAAGCCCCTCACCTGCAGGCGACATCCAGGTCACAGTCCTTGTCCACGTAGCAGGGGTTTTTGCCCCCCAGCCCCAGCGTGACAGGGGTCAGGTGCTTGGCCGCAGCCATCATGACGATCCTGCCCACCCCGGTGCTCCCGGTGTACAGGATGTGGTCAAATCTCTCCTTGAGCACCTCCGTGGTTTCCGGGACACCCCCAATGATCACCGGGTACAGATCCTTCCGAGAGAGGACAGAGGTGAGGCTCAGAAAGGACCACAGCCCCCTCCCCACGTGGCCGGGCAGTCGCCACCAAGTGGACCCCCTCTCTCGGCTCAGGGGCTCCAGTCACCCCAGTGGGAGTGGCCAGCTGTCCTCACCCCACCCGTGGCTTGGGCCCTGGCTGCAAGAATTCACTATTTCTCAACCCCTGAAGACACGGCCCCGCCCCAGTTCCCCGCGTGCCCTGGAGAGCCCGTCACCTTATCCAGGTACTGGGGGAGGATGGTGGCCAGCAGGCTCGCTGTGTTTTCACTCAGCTCCGACGGCTTGAGGACCACCGCGTTCCCTGCAGAGCACACGGAATCAGGGCCACGCTGGGGCCACCCCCTGCTCTGCCCTCCCAGGGACCAAGGGCGCGTGGTGGGCGGTGAGGCTGTGTGGACATCTGAGCCTGGCTGGGCCTGGGCACCGGGAAGCCTGGTCCCCACAGCCTCCTGTGAGAGCCGGACCCTCCTATGGCTCCCTGACCCCAGGCTGCCTCTTCGCACAGGCCTGCGCCCCCCGCCCCAGGCCCTCCCCTCCGCAGTGGAGAAGAGGGACCCCTCCTGGCTCCCCGACACAGAACGGCGCTCACGGTACCTGCAGCAATGGCGCCCACCATGGGCTGGATGGTGAGGCTGAAGGGGTAGTTCCAGGTGCCCATGATGAGAACCACACCCAGGGGCTCTGAGTGGATGTACGACTCATCCTGCTGGGTCTGGGGCGTCTTCTCCACGGGCTCGTCCGCAGCCCACTCAGGGAGCTTCTTGATCACGTAGTCGATCTCCTCCAGGACGTACACGATCTCCTCGTAGTAGGCGGTCCATTCGTTCTACAGCGAGAGGGCTCCGTGAGGCTTGCTGGCCCCAGGGTGAGGGCCACGCAGCCGGGGCTCTGAGCGGACGCCCCAGGGCTGGCGGTGGTCCTTGGCTCGCTGCTTCCCAGCTTTGTGACCCCAAGTGAACCTCCTGACCTCAGTCTCCCAGTCTGCAAAATGGGAACATGACTGGACCTCATGCTCCAGGTGGGCCCATTGGACACAGCCTGGCTTGTTCTGCTGCCCACACGAAGGGGGCCATTCACCGTGGGCTCCCCAGCCCAGTGGCCAGGCAAGAAGGCACAAGGGGGCAGAGCTGAGGATTAGCCTTTGAGTGGGGGGGGTCTGTGAGGGCCCCTTTCTGCCAGTGCTGGGGACCCAGACAGGTTGGACACATCGAGTATGAGATGCCCTCGGGCACCTCAGACCTGAGTAGTGATTTGAGGGTCACTCAGTGAGTCGGGGGCAACTGAGCTGAGGGGTGTCCGGGAAGGCTTAGAGATGAAAACGAGACTTGAAGCCAGGACGGAGCCCTAAGAAGACCACCCTGATGAAGTGGCTTCAGGAAAGAGACCACCAAAGAGAGTCAGGAGAAAATCCAGGAGACCCTCAGCCAGCGGAGGAAGCCAGTGTGGGGAGCTTCCGAGAGAGGGGTGCAAAGTGGGATACACAGCTCTTCCGTGAACTTTGGCTGTGCAGAGCAAGACAGAAGTCGTGAGGTCAGCACTGGGTTTTCTTGCCTTTGTTTTTTGCTGTAAGATGAGAAATCTTGAGAGATTAAAGAAAAAAAAAATACAGTGGCAAAAGGCCAGGAAACGGTAGGGGGACGGGCTCCACAGCCCCTCTGCTCTCCTCCAAGGCCAGGCGGATGGAAGGGTGGAAGCAGGCCCAAGTGACTTGGGGGCAGCGAGGGGGAGGGGCTGAGTATTCGGAGGGGTCTGATTTTGCCCAGGGGTAGAAGAGGATGGGGAGGGAGGGAGGGAGGACGCCCAGCAGAGCAGGCTGCCCTCCGCGAAGCCAGGCTGGGCTGTTCCCTGGTGTGGAGAACCCGGCCCGCACGGGGCTGAGAGGTGAAGGAAAGAAGAGGCCGGAAAGGGGTGGCCTCGTGTGCTGGGCTGGGTGGAGAAGGGCGTGAAGCCGGGAGGGGGGATGACGGACCTGGCGCGTGGGACCTGGGGCGCCGCAGGACGCAAGGAGAAGCCGGCACGCCCCGTCTGAGCGGCTGCGCTTTCCCCTCCGTAAAAGGGTACTGAGGCGCCCGGAGTGTTTTGGGGGCTAAGTGTCAAGAGCCGGGCGCAGAGCTTGGCCCGCGGCGCGCAGCCCACGTCCTGGGCGCACGCAGCCCTCTCCTGCCCGTGGCCGGTCGGGGCGCACCTTGCGGAGGTCGGCGGCCAGCGCGCCCACGAGGTCCTTCTCGCGCTCGCGGATCAGGCGCCGCAGCCCCTCCAGCTGCTGGACGCGGCACTGGAGCGGGCGCGTCTTGCCCGCGTTGAAGGCGGCTCTGGCCCGCTGCACCACCTCGCTGATTGTGTCCATGGTTCCTGAGGACAGAGAGCTCCTTGGAGCCGGGAGGAGGGCGCGCGCTCCCCGGCCGCCCACTGGGAGCCGGGGTCCCCAGGGCAGCACCCACCCTCACTGGTAATTTTATAGGAAGAGGAAGATCTCCCTGGGAGCACCGAGAAATGGCCTCCTTTTGCCTTCTCAGCTCCCTAACCCTGTTGTCTTGGACTCTTCTGGCCATCGGCGTACTCCCTCCCTGAGCAGATGACAGACCCCCGCAGTGAGGACCCCAGGCAGCAGTGACCTGCGGTCCTAAGGGTGTCTACAGCTGCTGATGGTGGGTTCTTGGCAGGGTGCTGGGGGCAGGCCCTTCCTGGCATCTCTCAGGGCCCATGCCCACCTCTACCTTCGTGTAGAGTTGGTGACTCTCGCAGGCAATCACTCCAAGTGCTCTGCACACCCAACCAGGGCAGTCTCCAGATCAGATTAAAGGACACAGGTCGTGATTCCACACCCACGCTGATTAAAGAAAACCCAGCATCAGGATTCTCACACCACCTTTCTGGCTGAGCCGACATTCTCAAAAGCACTGGCGGCTTCCCAGACAGAACCAGGCTTGGTGTTTAAACCCGTGTGTGCCTGTAACACCTGTGAGACAGACCTACTCACAGAGCTTCAGATTTCCACAAAAAAGCTGCCCGTACAGCAGACCATGCTGGCGAAGTGGGATGGCTCTGCTGGGAGGCATTTGGCTATGCCCAGCAAAAACTTTTAAAATCTATTTCTCTGTGACGTAGTAGGTCCACGTTCAGGAGCTCATAGAAATGAGCGCATTCCTAAACATTCATGAACAAGAAAGTTCATCAGGCTTATACATAAAAGAGAGATACTGGAAACATCCTAAGTGTCCATCAGCAGGAGACAATTTCAAAGACGTCTGCTGCACCCACGTGCCAGGTGATCGTGCGGTAATTAGGACAGAGATGGACAAGTGTTTCAGCACCTTTATAAAGGCGCTCTCTGTACCAGATGTGTCCCGGGCATGAGGGATAAGAAACAAAACAGGTTCCAGAACAACAGATACCCCAGGCGTGTTCGTGCCTGTTCACGCGAGAGCCCAGAGGGGCGGCCCCCGCCCCCCCCCGCCACCCCGCGTGGTGACTGCGGGGGGATGGGAGGGAGGTTGGGGGTGGATTAGAGGTGATCCTCATTTTCATCTTCTGGAGGGCTTCACTTTTTTTGCAGTGAACTTGCATTTCTTAAAAATGTTTGTTACCTTTTTGAATAGGTAACACGCACATGGTAGAAAATGTAAAAGATACAAAAGGGACACAGAGAAAAGTAAACGTTCCTCCTCCCTTCTCCCCCCGCAATTCTTCCTGTCCTCCAAGAGGTTCCCACCCACTTTCAGACACGGTGTAACCTCTGACATCAGAAAAAAACCACAATAAGGCTATTTCCATTTGGCAAAAAAATTCAATACCATATCTACATATATGTAGATATTGTATATATAATACACATGGTATATGTGTATATATTACCATACATGGTATATATAAATTTTTTGCCAAATGGAAATAGCTATTTATAGATGTATATGTATGTATGTGTGTATATGTATATATGTATGAAATCCTGCTTGAATTCCAGCAAGTGGCTTCTGATTCCTCCCATCACCTCCCCCCTCCGCAGCACTGACCCCCACCCTGGCTTTCGGCATGGACAGGAGGGCCCTGCTGGCATCCAGGGCGCCCCAAGCCTGGGGTGCCACGGCCCCCTCCCTAGGCCCGACGGGAAATTGGAGGGAGCCCTCTGGGATCCCTCGGCCCAGCCTGCCATGGGCCAGGCCACCCGTGACCCCAGCCACACAGCCCGGCAGGAAGGTCCTGCTTCCCTCCCCAGCCTCGTGTGGGCAAACCAGGGCAGCAGCCTCTGGCCATCGGCCACCAAGGCCTGGCGGCTCAGGGCAGAAGAGCTGGTGGGAGGGAGACCGGGAGGGCTGGCCCCCAGCTCAGCACTCAGAACCATGTGGTCTCTGGGAAGGAGCTTCCTTTGTGGGCAGCGTTAATAGCAGCGTCGCTTCTCAGTCATTACAAAGATTAATGGCGCCAGGGAGTAGCTAACATTGCGCTTGATGTCCCAGTGGGAGCAGCTGGAATTAGTCCCCCAGGACGCATCCTTCTTCCCACACCCCTGCATCCCGCCTGCTTCACCTGTGCCACTTTGTTCCCAGGTGTCATTATCCCCTTTGATCCTCACAAAAATCCTCGCTCTGTAGGAGCGCCCACCAAGAAGGAGCCGTTACGAGTCCATTTTACAGATGAGGAAAGTGAGGCCAATAGACGTGCAATAAATGCTCTGTCTTTGGTCTCCCAGTTAGCAAGTAGCAAAGTCAGGATTTGAACCCGCTTCTGTCTCTATCTCATGCCGCTCGTGCCTTTAACTACAGGACTCTGCTGCCTCTGGGTTACTGAATCAAGGCTTCTCACCCACCGTCCCCTGGGGGTCCCCCTGCTCCAAGGGTCCCCGGGGCCTCTACCTCCCTGTGGCAGGGGTGGTAGAGCTGCCAGACGTGAGCTTCAGGCCCTTGGGGCAGCCAGCCGCAGATTCTCAGAAGATGTTCCTGGGTGTGGGGAGGACCAGCCACAGAGGTGGACCCGCTCCTGGCCAGGCTGCAGCTAGAGATTTCTAGAAGAGAACGGGGAAGAGAGTTACCTTCGACACAGGCTGTCCCGGGGCTGGAGCTCCAGGAATGGGCATCAGCCTAGAGAGGATGCATTTAAGGACCCTTCTCCCCGCCCCCTGGGCCCTTGGAGTCCCTGCCCAGGAAGTTTGCATAACAAGAACAAAACAGTTTTCAAACGTGGGGTGTAGTAATCCGGCCCTCTGCTCCCAGTTTGGGGGATTAGGCCTGGGGTTGTCTGCTTTTGTTCTGCTCAGAAATGCAAGAATGTGTCTGTGGAGGCTTGGGCGGGGCCGGGTCCAATCTTCCAAAGGAGCCCCTGTGTTTGCCTCGGGCATGGGGCTGCTGATTGATTCAACCTGACCTGACTGCTTCCAGATTTTCCAAGTGCAATTACCAGCGGCTGTCCTCCCGACCTCCCTGGTTACATAAGGGCGGGGGAGGCACTGTCACAGTGAGCGTGCACGCAGCTACCCGAGGACGCCCCATCAAGGTGAGATCTCTAAGCCTGGGGAATCGCAGGCCGGGGCTTTCTACACGAGGCCCCACCAATACGTGGGTCTGCCCACTTGTTGAACAGCAGAGAAGGGGGCCACGGACCAGTACCGACTGCCAGGAACCTCCCCAGTGAGGCCGGTCACCCACGGAGCCAGAGATGCTTGGGCAGAGAGGACTCTGGGATAACAGACGTTTGCTGGGCGTCTGCTCAGTGGGGATGGAGGCCTGTGTGGAAGACACATCTGGCCACTTCTCACACCGTCCCTGCTACCTGGACTCCGGGCTTCCTCCCACTGGGCACTTCCTGCTACCCTCACCCACCAGCCTTGCTTCCCTACAGGCCCCTGCAGAGGTGCTCTTCCCTTCCCCCTCCCTCCCCCGGAATGCCCCTCCCGTACAGCCCTCATCATCACGCTTCCTCCTCTTCCTCCACGTTATTTTTCTCCAGACCATGTATCACCCTCTGAGATGCTATTTGTCTACTTATTTTGTCACCTGCCACCCTCCAACTAGAATTTGCTTTGTTCACTGCCGTATCCTCAGCACCCAGAACACTGTCTGGCACATAGTAGGTGCTCAATAAGTGAATGACGGAATAAACAGAAAGTTTCAAAATAATATGAACCCTGTAGTGGCTGGAATATGCACAAGATGCTACAGGGCCTCAGATGAGAGTCCCGAGGGAGGGAAACGGAGTCTGAGCTGAATGGGAGGTATTTAGGCTTGGAACAGCAAAAGCAAGGGCACAGAGGCAGGAAACAAAGTCGTGTGTCTTCGCAGTTATTAAGGTGCTATTAAAAACGTAACTGATGGGAAAAGAATTTGAAAAAGAATAGGTACATGTATATATATGACTGAATCACTTTGCTGTACACCTGAAACTATCACAACGTTGGGTTTTTTTTGTTTGTTTTTTAATATTTGGAAACTTTATTTTAATGAACAATTCTTTTCCGGTGTGATTTTATTTTATTATTATTATTTTTTGGCCGTGCTGCGTGGCATGTGAGATCTTACTTCCCCAACCAGGGATCGAACCCGCTCCCCCTGCATTGGAAACGCGGAGTCTTAACCACTGGACCACCAAGGAAGTCCCAACATTGTTAATCAACTATACTCCAATAAAGAAGAAAAAGTTAAAAAACTAAAAGAAAAAATAAAATTGTAATTGAACCTGTTGGAGATGCATATTCCCAGGCTCCACCTGCTCGATAAAATCAGAAACTCTGGGATGAGGCCCAGCCATTGGTGGTGTAACAAGTCCTCCAGGTGATTCTGACGCCTCCAGGTGAAGTTGGAGAACCAGTGACTCACCAGTTACTGATAACAGTTTACTGGGAGGAGTTCCCTTTGATCTGTGTTTTTATTCCTTTAAGAAATTGTTATAAGAAAATCGTATTGTTTATTGTTGATATCTGCTACAAGTTACAAACATGTATATGGTTTATAAAATTATATTCTGTAACGATATAAAGCTGGGAAGATTGATGGTAATGATGTGACTATGAGAGAGATTTTATATTGGCCTGTGACACAGAATTCAGTTCACATGTTTCAAGTGGCCAAGGAACTAGGGTGACGGCATAAAACCTTATGAGAAATTGTTCTAAGGAACGAATAAAAAGTTTGTAGTGGCAAACGTGAAGTCATCAGGTGACAGCAGGTGTGACGTGAGGCATTATTCCAGGGACGCATCACATCTGGGGCTGCCTGTGGTCATCACGGCCAGCACTCAGGCAGCAGTCACTTGTGCCGTGACTGAACGCGTGGGGCCTCTGGTGACAATTCCACAGGGAGGGTGTTATTCTCCCCATTTTATATAAGGGGGACCAGAGACTTGTAAGAATGTTGGTCCAGGCTCTCACTGCTCACAGGTGGCAGAAGAAGCCCTTGAACCCACCAAAGCCCAGGCTCACTCACCGAATGCAAGCCGTCTCCCCGGAAGGGAGATGCAGCCAAAGCAACCCCAACAGGAAGTGACGTAGTCCATGGCCATTCCCCACGGGGGTGCCCTCCTGCCCTCCTTCTGAACGTTCTGATTATCATTACGCAGATGGTTCCAACCAACCTGGGGATCTGGTTCCTCAGGCTAAGTGAATGGATGGAAAGAGGAAGGACGACGGGGAGGAACAGCTGTGAAGAACAGCGAGGAAGATGCCGACTGGAAGGATCAATTCCATTTACAACAGCATCAGAAAGAAGAAGTAAATTTAAATGTAAACTTAACAAAAGAAGTGTAAGACTTACACACTGAAAACTGCAACACATCGTCGAAAAAAATTAAAGATCTAAATAAATGGAAAGAAATCACAAGTTTGTGGATTGAAAGACATAATACTGTTAAGATGACAGCACTCTCCAAATTGATTTACAGATTCAATGCAATTCCTGTGAAAATCCCAGCTGGCTTTTTTTTTTTTCAGGAGTAGAAAAGCTGATCTTAAAATTCGTGTGTAAATGCAAGGGACCAAGAAGAGCCATAAAAATCTTGATAAAGAAGAAGAAAGCTGGAGGATTCAATTTCAAAAGTATAACAATGCTGCAGAGATCATGATACTGGCATAAAACAGACAAGCAGATCAATGGAATAGAGCTGAGAGTCCAGAAACAAACCCTTACACGTGTGGCCAACTGACTTTTGACAAGGCTGCCAAGACAATTCAGTGAGGAAAAAGAAGTGTCTTTCCAACAAAAGGCACTGGGATGACGGACTATCCACATGCAAAAAGATGAACGTGGACCGTTACCTCACACCATACACAAAAATTAACTCAAAATGGATCATAGACCTAAATGTAAGAGCTAAAACTATAAAACTTCTACAAGAAAACATAGGAGTAAATCTTCATGTCTTTGGGTCAGGCAATGGTTTCCTAGATAACAAGACCAAAAGCACAAGTGACAAAAGAAAAAAACAGCTAATTGGACTACATCAAAGCGTGGGCTTCCCTGGTGGCACAGTGGTTAAGAATCCGCCTGCCAATGCAGGGGACACGGATTCGAGCCCTGGTCCGGGAAGATCCCACATGCCGCGGAGCAACTAAGCCCGTGCGCCACAGCTACTGAGCCTGCGCTCTAGAGCCCGCGAGCCACAACTACCGAAGCCCGCGCACCTAGAGCCTGTGCTCCGCAATAAGAGGAGCCACCACAACGAGAGGCCCTCGAACTGCAACGAAGAGCAGCCCCTGCTCGCCACAACTAGAGAAAGCCCACGTGCAGCAACAAAGACCCAACACAGCCAAAAATTAATTAATTAATTTAAAAAAATGTCAAAGCATTTGTGCTACAAATTATACCAGCAAGAAAGTGAAAAGAAAACCCACAAACTGGGAGAAAATATTGGCAAATCATGTATCTGATAAGGGACTTAGAGTATATAAAGAACTATTACAACTCAACTTTTATCGTTTGTCAATATTAGACAAATAACCCAATTTAAAAATGGGTGAAGGATCCAAAGAGACATTTTTCCAAAGAAGATATACAAACAGCCAACAAACACATGAAAAGATGCTTGGCATCATTCGTTATGAGGGAAATGAAAGAGAAAACCACAATGAGATACCACTTCCCAGCCACTAGCATGGCCATTAAAAAAAAAAAAAAAAAAGGCAGAGACGATAAGAAGTGTCGGCGAGGAGGTGGAGAAATCGAAACTCTCCTACACGGCTGGTGGGGATGTAAAATGGTGCAGCCACTTTGGAAAACAGGCAGTTCCTCAAAGAGTTAAACACAGAGCTACCATATGACCCAGCAATTCCACTCCTAGGTCTACACCCAAGAGAAAGGAAGACCTGTGTCCACACAAACAGTTGTACATGAATGCTCACAGCAGCATGATTCATAGGAACCAAAAAGTGGAAACCACCTAAATGTCCATTAACTGATGAATGGATAAACAAAACGTGGTGTATCTGTACAACGGAGCATTATTACACCGTAAAAAGAAATGAAGTTTGCATACATGCCTCACCACGGATGAGTCTTGTGGACATTATGCTCCAGACACATAGGACTACAGAGTGTACGACTGATTCCATTCATATGAAACGTCCAGTAAAGGCAAATTTAGAGAGACAGAAAGTAGGTTAGGGGCTGCCTGGGGCTGAGAAAAGGGGGTGGGGGCAGAGGGCGAGGACTGACTGCTAACGGGTACAGGGTTTTTTTTAGGGGGACAAACGTGTTCATGATTAGGTTGTGGGGATGTCTGCACAAAAAACTAAAAAAACATTGAGTTGTACACCAAAATGAATAACATGGTGTTGAATTTTATCTCAATGAAGCTATTAAAATATGTATATCATATTCAGTACCCTCACTCTGAGAAAATAGGAAAATGCATTAGGAAAATGTGGAATCTCCCCTCCAGAGAGCTGAAAATCATTTAGGTAGATCACGCCCCCAGGAGGAGGTGGAGTGTAACCCTCTTTTCTTACGTGTGGGATGTGTGTAGTGACTTCTTTCCAAAGAGGCCAGGGTGGACTGGTCAGGGGAGTAACTCTACACA